TACAAAATGATTATTAATGGAATGCTAAATCTGGCTAGGGATATAGTTCGTTGGTCGAGTTGGTTAGAATGCATAAAGTCCCAGGCCTGCCTGCTCTCCTCAGTACAGCACAGACGACCTGGTGTCGCACACCTCCAACCCAGCCAGCCCTTACGAGGCATAGGCAATTCTGCTACATAAAAAGCCTGTGACCAGCCCAGACCTATCCAAGACCTAGCCTCAGAAGAAGACAATACAAAGCAGAACAGCTCTACATGGACTTTGCAAGGATTTTCTGTGTATTCAATTGGCTTTGACCTTGGTATGGCTTCCTGAATGAGTGGATGATTGTGGATGAAAAGCCAGGTATCCCGTTACCATGGACCATAAAGCCAGCTAATCTATCCCTTGTCTCTACATTTATCTCCTCAGACTGGTGGTCTACCCTCCGGAGCCTGGGGAAAGGGAGAAATCAGTCATAGGACCTAGCCTTCCCTAGATCTTCCCCGTCACAGCAAAGCGGCCAGGAAAGAGCAGCCGCAGGCCCAACTCTTGAGCAGCCAGGTGTGGTGCAGAGCCCAACACACCTGCAGCCACATGCTTCAAGGACAGGAGTCTGCCCCTGAACACCTGAGCACCCCGACTGGCACGATGACTTCCATATAGTGTAGGCATACTCTCAGGGCCTACTGTTTGTAAAATACCACCATGAGGGGTTGGGGATGTAGTCCAATTGGTAGAGCACTTACCTAGGATACACAAAGCCCGGACCTCAGTCTCCAGTGCCATCTAAACCAGGTGTGGTGGTGTACACCTGCAGTCCAAGCACTCCGGAGTTAGAGGCAGGAGGACAGCCATTCAGTGTCATCCTCAGCTACACAGCATGTCCAGGTGAACCTGCAATACATGCGACTCTGTCTCAAGGCAAGCAAAACACTCCAAAACACAACCATGCACGTATTGAAGGCAGGGCCGTGGTCTGGGGATGACGTCACTTTTGTGGCAAGTGTTTTTATAAACAGAAGAAGAACATGCTAAGATAATAATTTAAGAGTATAGCCTGGCAAATTGGCACACTAGAAACACAGCCATTCACTGCTTCATCACGAATGCTGTGTATGCAACTGTAGGTGCTGGACACTCAGGTCACCCAAGCAGTAGGTGTGTCCACACCAGCTTTGCCCCAGGCAAAAGAGGAAAGTATTGCATTAGGCTGTTAGGACCATTTAAATGTCACTAAGTCATTGTGATCTGCCGCATCTGCTGTCATGTGAGTTGCGTAGGAATCATGGCGTGTGGTGCCAAGGCATTATAACAGACACTGGCTCCCTCCCAGCCCCCTAGCACTCAGCCAATGCTTCTTGTTGGTAAAATCTAGGAAATGCACACTGAGTTCCTTTCTTTCCCTCAGGATTTGTAAGAGGAGGGCAGATGGCCTTCAGCTTTGGAATTTTGGCACAGACAGAACATCTTCTGGGAGCCTCTTAGACCTTAAATCCCTATTCTCTCCAGGACGGCCTTCGTGTGTGTGTGTGTGTGTGTGTGTGTGTGTGTGTGTGTGTGTGTGTGTGTGTGTCTTGTGCTTAGGTGCATAAATATTGCTGTGAACCCCTGGTCCGTGGATGAGCAAAGCTTTTTTAGCAAATCACCCGTGGGTATGGAGGTCTTTTACAGCCCTGGCTCCACGGCTCTTCCAGAGTGATTGCCAGGACCAGTGGTCATCAGTGGCCCTGCTAGGACAGAACAGGTGCCCTGGGCCCAGGCTTAAGGGGCAGGGTGACCTCCAACCAGCTCTGTGCCAGAAGCCAAATGAGACGTAGCAGGAAGTATTAAATCATCTAGATGTTTATTTCTTATGACATGAAACACCTGGGCTCTAGGAGTCATGCGGGA